AACTATATCTGTCTCATTCTTCACTGCGTCTCGGCACTACCTGAGTACGTGGATCATAGTAGTCACTTAATGGACTTTAATAAATATGCTTTAATTTATTCATCCATTTCTCTTGGGGAACAATACTTAAAATCCTTTGCTGCAAACTCTTGTAAATTTAAACAGGCAAGTTTGTTTGCAAACAAGTTTCGCTGTCACCTTAAAAGCTGTCTCTTACTCTTCCCATTAATTATAAACCCTAATAGTTACTATGAAGAAAAAAATGCTTGTTAGGCCCTGACCAATCAAATTGAAGATCAAAGAATTATTCTGTCAGTGTATTTAGTCCCCTCAACTTATAGTCATTTTTGCACAATAATTGTATATTTCCACAATAATATATCCATTTTTCAAAGAAATACAAAAAAATTATCCACAGCTATTATTATTCTGTTACTTCTTTTCATTCTTTTGTTAAAATAGTGTATCTTACCTCATATAGTATGTTTTCTTTTTTCCCATTTTTGCACAATTATATACCCTGCTTTTTCTGCTTGCTACATTATATTTTCAAAATTACAACAAAGTCTTCATAATTATCATATTGAACAGATGCATAATACCCTACTGAATAAAATAGTCATTATTCATTTAGTTAATTTACTATTAGAAATTTAGACTGGGCAGGGCGCAGTGGCTCAAGCCTGTAATCCCAGCACGTTGGGAGGCCAAAGCGAGAGGACTGCATGAGCCCAGGGGTTCAAGACTAGCCTGGGCAACTTGGCAACACCCCATCTCTACAATAAAAATTAGCCGGGCATAGTGGCTCAAGCCTGTAGTTCTAGCTACTTGGAAGGCTAAGGCGGAAGGATTGCCTGAGTCCAGCTGGTCAAGCTGCGGTGGTGGTGAGCGTGCCACGGCACTCCAACCTGGGAGACAGGGTGAGATGCCAACTCAAATAACTAAAAAAAAAATTTAGACTGGATGCAGTGGCTCCCATCTATAATACCAGCACTTTGAGAGGCCAAGCCAAGGGCATCACTTGAAACCAGTAGTTCACCGGGCTCGGTGGCTCAGCCTGTAATCCCGCAACTTGGGAGGCTGAGGTGAGTGGATTGCCTGAGCCCGCGGGTTCGAAACCCGCCTGGGCAACTTGGTGAGACCTCATCTCTGCAATAAATCAAAAAATTATCCGGATGTGGTAGCGCACGTCTGTAGTTCCAGTTACTTGGAAGGCTGAGGCAGAAGGATCGCCAGAGTCCAGCAGGTCGAGGCTGCGGTGGCCGGGAGCGGCCACTGCATTACTGGGCAACAGAGTGAGACTCCAACTCAAAAAAAAGATAAAAGAAATCAGTAGTTCAAGAGCAGCCTAGGCAATATATCTACAAATAAAAAATTTTTTAAAATCAGTCAGGTGAGGTGGTGCGTCCCTATGGACCCAGCTACTCAGGAGGATGAGGTGAAAGGATCACTAGAGCCCAGGAGTTCAAGGCTACGCCTGGGCGATAGAGTGAGACAGTCTAATTTTTTAAAAAATTAGTCTCTTTTAAAAACACTGCTTCATAGCCAGGCATGCCTGTGGTTCCAGCTACTTGAAAGGCTGATGCTGGAAATCCCCTGAACACAGCAGGTCGAGGCTGTGGTGGACATGAGCATGCCATTGCACTCCAGCCTAGATGACAGAGTGAGACTCCTATTCAAAACAAACAAATAAACAAACTGCTTCTGTGAAAATCTTAACATACTTGACTTTTTCCACTTTGGGACTTAAAAGAATAGTGCTCAGAACCTGAATTCTAAGCCAGTAACTATATACGTTTTTATGACTCTTAACATATATTAATTAAATTGCTTTCCTAAAGTGTTAACATGATATATACTGCCAATTGAAATTTTTTTTTAATTAATTTCACCATAATCTAGCCAGTCCTGGAAAATACAAATTATGTAACTGTACTGGTAATTCACTGCTATTTGGATTTCTCTCTTTCCAGTTGGGGTCTCACTCTGTCACCCAGTCACAGCTCACTGCGATCTCAAGCTCCCAGCCTCTGGCCATCCTCCGAAACAGTTGGGGCTGGAGATGCCTGCCGTCACACTCCATTTATTCCCTTTTCTTTCTTAAAGAAATAAAACCTATTTCCATTTTTATTTTATTAATCACATTTGTCTTTCTATAATTTCAGCTCATGTTCCTTGTCAATTTAGCCACTGGACTCTAAGATTTCTCTTATGTCTTACAGTATTAATCCTGTAATTTTTGCAAATATTTTCCCTATTCTGTGAATTACTTCTTTTGGCTACATTATGATACCCGAGTTATTTTTCAGGTAATTTAATATATATAATTACAATTTATTGTCTTCTATAATCTCCCAACAAAGTCTCACACAGCCATTGTTTTCCAATTAGCTATGACTAGCAATCCCTCATCAGGAAGGTAAGGGTATTTATCTAACTGGTATTTACCTTGAAAGACGGTGTTAGTAGAGACTCTAAACCAACTTCATTATCCAAGTTGGCAGTCAGCATTTCAACATCAATCTTGATGTCTCACTCTGTCACTCAGGCAGGAGTGCAGTGGTTTGCTCACGGCCACCATAACCTCGACCTGCTGAGCTCAGATCTTCCAGCATCAGCCATTCAAGTAGCTGGAACTACAAGCACGCACCAATACACCTGGCTAGTTTTTAATTTATTGTAGAGATGAGGTCTCGCCAAGTTGCCCGGCTGGTCTCGAATCCCTAGGGCTCAGGCAATGCTCTCACCTCTACCCCCCAAAGTTGTAATGCTTTTTCAAACTCATATTTGTACCCCATCACATTATGCTCTGGAAAGTGACATGATATTATTTACATTTTAAGAGATGATCCTGACTGAAACGTAGAAAAAAGGCTTAGCATGGAAGGTAAAAACGGAAATTGCTGGAACAGAACCTAACCTTTTCTGTTGAACCAACTGTCACTTTTTCCCCCATACTCACAGTTTCCAACAGGATGTTCTTTCTCAAAGCACTCTAAAGAAATTGCACTTCTCATGGAGGGCAACTTTCAAAGAATCCAACTATGACTGTCAAGTATTATTTTTACACTTCGACCTTCAAATTTGTTTATTCAGAATTCAATTATCTAGTAACTGCAAAAAATCATCTGATCATATCATCTTCTTCTCCTGCCTCCCTTCCTACTCATCTTTATCTTTCTCCTTGCCTTCGTTCTCAGCTCTCTTCTTTTCCTCCCCCCTTTCCTTTTTCACTCCATTCTCACTTTCCATCAAAGTATCAACACATGGTTTCCACTTCTACCAACATAAACTGTATACCCCTCTACCTATTCCAAAGCCAAATTGAAGTCTGGGATATCCCTCCAGCATAGACATCAATAAAATTCCTGCCAAACAGAGAAAAGTCTGGAAAAGACTGCCTCGGTTATGTAAACTAGCCATGGTTATGGATGGTTTATAGGTCCAGTCAAATAAAAGAAACTTCCAAAAACTTTTTCGAACAGGTGTGGGTGGGAGGGGGACAAGGAACGGGAAAAAAATAAAAACTTTTTCAATTTAATTTCTATTTGCTCTTATCCATTAAATAAATCAGTTAAAATTATATACAAAACATGTAGCAAGAAATACTTGCTAAAGACAAATATTATTTAAAAACAAATAAGACTCCTCAACACATCATAAATGAGATAGGGCTACCAAAAACCTCAGATTTGGCAATATTGTTATTTATTACCAGAAACTTGCTAAAAATAATATAGCAAAAGTATGATAAACGTGCAGAGAACACTATATAAAAATTAAAAAGAATAGCCTTTTTGTCTTAAAAATTTGTACAAGTTGCTCAAAGGCAAGTAGACAGTGGGTTATATTCTTCCTAAATTTATGTCTGCTATGAGCCACTTTTTTTGAATGACTATGCCATCTTTCTACTAGTACATACTTGCCTAACAGTTAACATTTGACAGAATTATGTTTTATCTATTCACATAGTTTGTGCATCTGGCAGTATAGACTGTATTGGTTCAGATGCAGCGAATTAACTCAGTCAAATGCAAGCCAGCAAAACTAAGTAATTTGGGTGGCTGTTTCCAGGAGAAGCTCTTGAAAGTTCAGGGGTTTTTATTTTAGAGAGTAATATAACTACTGGATCAGTCTCAATTTCCCGGGAAGTTTTTTTTTAAGAAAGCTAATTTCAGAGCTGCCACTGAGTTATTAAGAGTTAATACATTTCAAACACCCTGCCATATGCACTATCGGATACAAAAACATTTCAAACACCTTATCCTGTCAAGGAGAAGTTATTCTTTCTTTCAGTAACCACAATTTAAAGTACACTTAAGAATTTTTAATTACAAAATGATTAACATAGGTCAGAAAGTTTTACATTTTTCTTTAAAATGCTCATCTCCAAGTTTTCGGAAAAAAAAATTTTTTTAATCAAAATATTTAACCCACTAATAATTTCAGAAATAAACATTTTACCAGCCAAACAAAAGGTAAAAACTAAGCATTCAGCTAAAGAGAGTACCAAAACTTTTCCTAACCTAGGTATAATAAAATTCATAAAAAGTCAAACCCCTAATGAAATCAAGCACATAACTTTAAGAAATATGAAAAACTAATTACTTTGGCCAGGCACGATGGCTCAAGCCTGTAATCCCAGCACTTTAGGATGCTGAGGCGAGAGGATTACCTGATCCCAGGGGTTCAAGACCAGCCTGGGAAACTTGGCAAGAACTCATCTCTACAATAAATTTTTAAAAATTAGCCAGGCATGGTGGTGCACACCTGTAGTTCCAGCTACTTGGAAAGCTGAGATGGAAGGATCACCTGTGCCTAGCAGGTTGAGGCTGTGGTGGCTGTGAGCATGCCACTGCACTCCAGTCTGGGTGACAGAGTGAGACTCCAACTCAAAAAAAAAAGAAAAAGAAAAGAAAAGAAAAATAAATGCTTCTGTGACAAAACAATTAAAACTGAAGCTTCTCCCACTTAAAACTTTATGTAACGATATTACTTACGTAATAGACGGGTCCACTTGTTTGTAAGCATGGGCAGCGCAAGACCCACAGTATGTATATCCTGCATGGCTATAAAACAAAATATTGTCACAACTTAGTCACAGGTTCAAAATCAAGGTATTGTGAAAAAAACACTTTTGAAAGAAATATAATAACCACCGTAAACATAAGAGAAAGGAGCATAGATATTAACAAGCTATGTAGTTAATGATGCAACTTCCAGAAGAGAACACTGTGTTCTAATTCTAAACTTAAAACGTATTTTGTAATTTTTTTGGTCTAAAGGACAATTAAATCCAAAGATGTTCAAGGATTACTACTTAAAGTTGCTAATATAACACTAGTTATATGTGAGTTTTTGACACTGCTCCTCAGTGGCACTAACAGACTATGACAGACAAGGACTAAGAGGAAGCCAAATCAGACCAAAATAAATCACCTCCAACTACCAACCCTCTTCACTCTGAATCTTCAGTGACAGGGGACTGGATTGTCCTCTTCTCGGGTTATTCCTCTCGTTTCCTCTGCATACTACCCATCCCTTCATCTGCTGGTTTCAGCAGTCAGTTCTCTTAACACTTATATAGCGGCTCCGTTTCCTGATCTCATTTGTCTTTGCTGACTCATTCTACTTACACGAGTGGTTGAGTGAAGTGGTATGTGGCCAGTGGTATGCTGAAAAATGTTTTAACAGTGGGCTCTGCAGAAAAAAATGGATGCATGTGCATATGTACATAAGCATATAAAATGCTACTGAGATGTGTATCATGATTTGCAAATACTGATGAAATATGTAATGCTCCTTATTATAAATTCCATAGAGTCAACTGACTGTCATTTCTGTAACAATTAATTTTGGCTGAACTCTTACAGTCAAGTGATGGTTGCAATAAGAGTGGAACAAAGACATATGCCTGAGTTTTACTCAATCAATGACCTGAATAACTTCTTTACTGATTAGATAAGTTTCCAAAGACTGGAAAGAATATTTCCTCACTTTTTGTGCTCTTCACAATGTAAAGGTCACAGACACAACATAATCTTGAGTTAATCTGCATTATAAACATTTTCCCATTACTTTTTTTTTTTTTTGAGTTGGAGTCTCACTCTGTTGCCCAGGTTGGAGTGCTGTGGCCGCTCCCAGGCACCACAGCCTCGACCTGCTGGGCTCCAGCGATCCTTCCGCCTCAGCCTTTCAAGTAGCTGGAACTACAGGCGTGCGCTACCACACCCAGCTAATTTTTTGATTTATTGTAGAGATGAGGTCTCACCAAGTTGCCCAGGTGGGTCTCGAACCTGCGGGCTCAGGCAATCCACTCACCTCAGCCTCCCAAAGGCGCGGGATTACAGGCTGAGCCACCAAGCCCGGCTCCCATTACTTTCTTTAGTGAAGACAATCAACAAACTACATAAAGTCCTGATTTGTAGCAAGTTGCCAACTAAATCATTCTCACAATAAATTGAAGATGCATAATTAACTGCAAAGACAAAACACCAGAATGGGAGAAAATACTTGTAAAGCATATATCTGATAAAGGATCGATACCCGAATATTCACCTCAAAACAATAAGAAAATACACAAACCAATTTTTCAACTGGGTAACTTTTGTAAAATGAAAGGTGTTCTGAAGACTGGCTGCAAACCAATGAGAATACACATAGCACCACTGAACTGAACACCTAGAGATAGTAAAGTGTATGTTATATGTATTTTCCCACTACTAACGTTTTATAAATAAGAACAGGTGCCTTACCAAAGTATTCACTGAGATGGCACATAAGCACACAAAGAGATGCTCAACATCACTGAGTCATGAGGGAAAGACAAAGTAAAACTGCAGCAGTGAAACTGTTCCACTCACACACAGAGAAGAGTTGAAATGTGAAAGAGTGACCATGGCCAGGGCAGCAGGGCTGTGGAAGAGCTAAAATCCTGACTGCGCTTATGGGAACGTAAAATGACACAACTACTTTGAAAACCAGTTTAGCAGTTTCTTTAACGTCTTACCATATGACAACCCAGCTGCACCACCACCAAGAAAAATGAAAGCCTTGTGTCCACACAAAGATTTATACACAAATATTCACAACAGCTTTATTTGCAATAGCCAAAACCTATGGAAAACAACCAAATGTCTCAAAAGGTGAACAGATAAGCAAACTGAAGTATATTCATACAATGGAATACTCTTCAGCAATAAAAAAGAATGAACTTAGAGTCTGTAATACTCAGTGATCTATCACAGAAACAAAAAACTGAGTGCCACATGTACTCACTCATAAGCAGACCCTGAACATTTATCATAATACTATAAGAAAGGGATTGACAGTAGTGGGAAACTGCCAGGGGAGGGGGGAAGGGAACTTCACAATTACAAGGGTTCATAATCTCAAACCAGACAAAGCGGGGACCATAGGGAGACTCAAAGTTTACCTGTAAAACGATCACTTATCTACCTAATCCTGAATTGTATCCCACATCTTTAAAAAAAAAAAAAAAAAAAAAGAATGAACCTCTCAAACTCAAACTTTTAACTCTGCTTTTTTTAAAAGGTCAACAAATATGTTGAATGGAAGAAGCCAGACAAAAAGAGTTCATTCTGCATGACTCCATTTATTTTTTATTTTGAAGATGTAGGGTACAATTCAGGGTTAGGTATACAAAGTTCATTAGACAGGTATCCTTGTTGATGAGGTATGCCCCTCTCCTCCCCTGGCAATTTGCCACTACTGTCAATTCCACCCCCCCTTCGTCCCCTCCCCAGGCAGTGTCCAACTACTACCAATCCCATTCTTACAGTATTAAGATAATTCTTCAAGGTCTGCTTATGAGTAAAAACATGTGGTACTCAGTTCTTTGTTTCTGTATAACTCCATTTAAATAAAACTCTCAGGGGAGGGGAGGCTCATAACATCCATAAGGTGAAGTGGGGACCACAGGGAGGCCCAAATTTCACCTGTCTGATGACCACTTATCCACTTGATCCTGAACTGTACCCATCTTTAAAATAAAATTAAAACAAATAAATAAAACTCTGGAAAATAACTAATCTATAGTGACAGAAAGTAAATCAGTGGATGTGGAAGGGGAGGAGGGGACAGAGAGGTATAGAAAAGAACACTTAGAAAAGAACACAAGCAAACTTTTGAGAACGATGAATATGTGTCACCTTGATTGTTAGATGGTTTCACATTCATACATCTGTCCAACATCAGTCTGTGTTCATTAAATATATGTACTTACACATTTATCATACCATAAGAAACTCTTTTTTAAAAAAGGTCCTAATCTGAACGAGTTTAAGATAAAAATGGAGAAAAAGAGGCTCATATAAGCCAATCACAGCAACATAAGACAGCAGTGTGTTTAATCAGGAGCTGAATGATATGGCACATAGAGGAAGCTCACTGAAATCACTTCAGGCTTTAGCTGGCGGTAGTCACTCTCCCTACACTTCCAGCAAGGGAGCCTCAAAGCAGCAAGATTCCACAACCCTGCCCTTAGCCAGAAGGAAATGTTAAGCAGTTCTTCGGCTCAGTACCATCAGCGCTGCTGTCGCCCTGTACTAATCTTGAAGGGTTAAGCCAAACCAGGGGATCTATTTTACCCCATTATGTCCCCAGTCTCTGAGTGCCTGAGACCCAATGCTGACTGCTTCAGATGCCTAATAGCTGTCCTTGATCTTAACAGAGCTGGCTCCCTTGTCAGTGCTATCTGGCGTGTCTACGTGACCCTTAAAATGTGCCCGGTCCATCTGGATTTGACCTGGTCTATCTCAAACCTCAGTGACATCTCAGACTTTAAATAGGCGCTGCTTTGCTCTCAGGTGTCACTGACGACCCATCCCTCCACTTCCCAATCCTTACACTTTAAACTGGGCCTTCCACCGTAGACCTGCTTTCTCAGACTTGAGTTTCTCTTTGCCATTCTTAAATTTAGAGGCCCTGATCTCCAATCCACACTCTGATCTCTAAAACAGGCTTTCTAGTCCAAGTCTCTCCCAATTTTACCAATCCTGTTCCAGGCCAAGCTCAGTTCTTAATACCCAGAAAGCCTTCTTAGAAACACTGAATTCTTGAAGTCTGCGTAGGACAGAAATAGTAAGAATAGAAGGATTAGAGTAAAGGCTGAGGAAAACAGTGAGCAAAGTCCACATGCATGGCTCAGATGAGAACATACAGGCCTGGCCTGAGTGGAATAAGAGAGGAAGGCTAAGCCGGAGTCAGGACCAGGAGTCTGGGCTCAATAAAACAAGATACTGAAAAACCACTGCGGCTCTTGGGCAGGAGAGTGACATTAGGAAACTGTTACAATCAACTACTGGAAAGCACTAGCACCAAGAATAGGTTAGAGGCAGGAGGGTGTTAAGAGAAGCTCTTGCAAACTATGGCAATGCTATGAATATATCCAGCACGAGGTACTAATGTCATGGGCTAGAACTGCACCAGTGCTGGCGGGAACAGAGAAATGAGTGCTCTAGGGTCTAAAAAAGAAAAACTGACAAGGAACACATATGGGGAACGAAGAGGAGGAAGACAATAATAGTAACAACAAGTAACAATAATAATATAGCAACAGTGTTATCGTACTCTACCAATGTGATAATAATAATAACATTTACTGAACGCTTACTATGTGTTAGGTATTTGAAATGATTAATTCATTTAATCCTCGTACTAACCCTGTGAGACAAGAATTATTCTTTTTCTTGTTTTACAGATGAGGAAACAAAAGCAGAGAGGTTAAGAGACTTGTTTAAGTTCACAAAGACCAAGTGGGCAAGCCAGGACAAGCCAGACAGCAGAGTCCTAGAACCCACACATGTAACCACCAGAAGAGATCACCGCATGTTGGAAGGAAGGGAAGGAGTCCACGAAGTAAGAAAAGCAACAAGACTGAGAGCAAGAAGAAGCCTTTCAAAATCATATACTCTATAAGATGACAGGAAGGGACAAAAGTTCTGAAAACACAATTAACTGAGGTAAATACATAATTCATAACAGAACTCAGATTTCACAGTTTCAGTTCTTGCTGAAATTCAAAGTTCAGAAGTTTGCTTGAAATAAA